TCCGTCTCAAAAAAAATAAAAAAATAAAAAATAAATAAAATGGAGGTAATAACTACTTCTTCCCTAACAAGTGACAGTCAGAGGAGGGAAAGACTCAGAACTATGCCTCATCTATAGTGACCCTAAGTCAGTGTGGATATTGTCACCATTTAAACACAAATTGTTTGTTTGCCTTAGAGACAGGGTCTTGCTCTGTTGCCCAGGCTGGAGAGCAGAGGCATAATCATAGCTCACTGCAGCCTGGAACTCCTGGATTCAAGGGACCCTCCCACCTCAGCCTCCTGAGTAACTGTGACCACAGATGCATGCCACCATGCCCAGTTAATATATTTATTTATTTAGTCAAGACAGGATCTCACTATGTTGCCCAGGCTGGTCTCAAACTCCTAGACTCAACTGATCCTCCTGCTGAAGCCCCCCAAAATGCTGGGGTTATAGGCATCGGCCACCAGGCCTGGCCCATGCTGGGCTCTCTACACTTACTAAAAACTAATAGTGGCTAGGCACAGTGGTGCATGCCTGTCGTCCCAGCTGCTGGGGAGGCTGAGACAGGAAGATTGCCCGACCCCAGGAAGTTGAGGCTGGAGTGAGCCATGATTGTGCCACTGCACTCCAATCTGGGCGACAGAGCAAGACCCCATCTCAAAAAAAGAAAAAAAGAGGCCAGCATGGTCTCTGGACTGGTAGAGGCAAAGTAAGAGGAAATTGTTCTTATGTCTACTTTATTTTTCTATTTTTTATTTTTTGAGACAGAGTTTCACAACGTCACCCAGTCTGAAATACAGTGGTGCAACTGATCTCAGCTCACTGCCACCTCTGCCTCCAGGTTCAAGCGATTCTCCAGTCTCAGCCTCCAGAGTAGCTGGGATTTCAGGCACCTGCCACCACACCCCGATAATTTTTTTTTGTATTTTTAGTAGAGACAGGATTTTGCCATGTTGGCCAGGCTGGTCTCGAACTCCTAACCTCAGGTGATCCACCCATCTCGGCCTCTCAAAGTGTGATTACAGGTGTGAGCCACCATGCCCAGCCCTTATGTATATTTTAAAAATCATTTCTTTTATAACCCTGCTACCTGATTTTCACTTGAAGACCGAGACTTTGCTTCTTCCCATGGGCTTCAGGACAGATCCCTCAAAACAAGCCAGTGGTTTTTTTTGTTTTTGTTTTTTTTGAGACAGAGTCTTGCTCTCTCACCCAGGCTAGAGTGCAATGATGATCTTGGTTCACTGTAACCTCTGCTTCCCAGGTTCAAGCAATTGGCCAGGCTGGTCTCGAACTCCTGACCTTGTGATCTGCCCGCCTCAGCCTCCCAAAGTGCTGAGATTACAGGTGTAAGCCACTGCGCCTGGCCAACCAGTGTTTTTGTTTTTTTTGGTTTTTTTTTTTTTTGGTTTTGTTTTGTTTTTGTTTTTGAGATAGAGTCTCTCTCCGTCACCAGGCTGGAGTGCAGTGGCGCCATCTCGGCTCACTGGAACCTCCACCTCCTAGATGCAAGCAATTCTCCTGCCTCAGCTTCCTGAGTAGCTAGGATTTCAGGCACGCACCACCACGCCCAGGTAGTTTTTATATTTTTAGTAGAGACAGGGTTTCACCATGTTGGCCAGGATGGTCTCGATCTTTTGACTTCGTGATCCACCCGCCTGAGCCTCCCAAAGTGCTGGGATTACAGGTGTTAGCCACCGCGCCCAGCCGGCCACCAACGTTACTTTTTTACCTCCACATGGTCCCTCCCTGGGAGGTCTCCTTTGAGAAACGTAACTGACAAGTCCATTTTGTCCAGCCAGGGCTCCTTTTATTCATTCAGGGGTGGGTTTTTGAAACGCAGTGCAACTTTTATATAAAGTCGAGGGTGCCAGGAAAGTGGGCCTGCCAGGTGCAGAGAAGCGCAAGAAGCTTGCTGGAATGTTCCAGCTTTAAGGGCGCCCTTGATACACCGGCCACAGCTGCTGGCCCAGAAGGTGCCATGTGGACCTCAGAATGAGATCAGCGTGCCTGCTCCGTCCAGAGCTCAGGACCGTGTCCACCTGTCCTCGATATGAACAACAGTGTGCAAAAAAAAAAAAAAAAAAAAAACCCTGATAATATCTTCACACAGGATCACAGACTAGGCTCCGCATGGTGTCTCTTGGCCTAAGAAGCGTTCAGGCCGTGCGGGAAGTGTTGGGCAGTTTCCATCCTTCCACAGGACAGGGTATTGCCAGCTACCTCTGGTCTCTCTGCTGCAGGGCCCGGACAGCCCAGTGTTCATACTGGCGTCTCCTCTGCCACCTTCTTCAGGAGTCCAGCCGCCAGCGGAGAATGCTGGGGGCCCTCGGAGCTGTCCGCTTCCCGGATCTTCAGGCGAACTTTCTGGTTGGTCTTTCTCCACTCGGAGTACAGCTGGCAGTGGTAGCGGAAGGAGACCTGCGGGGCAGTTCTGCAGTGAGCGGGGGCGCTGAGAAGGACTCCACCCGCAAAGGAGGCAAAGCAAG